CGAGCGAACCTTCTCCTTTGGAGGGTAAAAAGGAGTGGCGACCGGGACATATCTAAGCAAGCGGGACCGAATAGCGCCAAACAGCTTCGAGTCCGGCTAAAAACTCAACGAACCAAACTAAGCGGCGATAGAGTATGCGCTCCATCAATTTACAAATACATGACATTAGGGAGATAGGCCTAACTCCCTTACCACCCGATTTAGGGATAAGAACCACGAGGGAACTCTTCCACGACTCCGGAAAAGAGACTTCAGCAAAGATAAGATTGAATACCTCCAACAAGAGATTATCATATTCCATGGGGAGCTGGCTAAGCATCTCGAAGCTAACCTGGTCGAGACCGGGCGCTGACCTTTTACGCACCGTCGCCAGGGCACATCTAAATTCCTTTCTAGTGAGGGGATCGTCCAACCAAGGACATAGATTAGTAAAAGAGCCATCATCGACCCTCATCTCCTCAACCGACCTAGCTCGATCCAAGTAAGCTGATGCCGGACAGAGTTTATTGATCATTTCAGAAGAGACACGCCTAAGGTCCTGCGAGTCGATATTCGAAGAAATAGCAGCAGCCCTTCCTTTAAAACTTTTAATGAGGCCCCATATTTGTCGGGAGAGGGTTTTGCTGTTGAATTTGCCAACAAATTCGCGCCATCCAGTTCGCTTCTGTTCCTGTAGCTTCCTGGAACACTCTCTGCAAACTCTACAAAATTCTGCGTAATTCCCCGGAGTGGGGCAGGAGACAAAGAGCCGGACAGCCTCCCTCCTGCCCCCAATCACGTCAGAACATTCACTATTCCACCAGGGCGGAAGATCCCGTTTTGCGCGCCAGACTATTGAGCGCGGGAAGCGTTTGTCCTCAGGAAGAAAATCTTTAGCTTCAGTCAAAACATCGTTAACAAAAGAATCGTAAAGTTCCAGCACATCCTCACGATTTCGAGAAGAGAGGCTGTTAGCCTTAGTCGAAAGATTGTGGTAATATAGCTGGAGCTGCTCCTTAGACAACGATATCCTGTAACGGAATCTGGACGTTAAGCAAACCTGAGCGCCTAAGGTGGTAATTATGGGATAATGATCACTTCCGTATGTATCTGCCTCCATCGAGACCTCACACAGAGGAGCTAGCTGAGGGGAAGCGATAACCAGATCAAGAACTGAAAACGCTCAAGGCGAAGGGTGCAAGAGGGTCGGAGTGCCCCCGTCATTGAGAATGACTAAGTCCATCTCTTCCACAGCTCTGAGGAATCTCACTCACGCTAGGCTCCGTCGTCTGCATCCCCATGCAGAGTGACGTGCGTTGAAATCTCCTAAAATGAGAAAATGCTTGGTGGAATGAAGCACGCCAAGAAGCGACCTATAGAAGGAAACTGGAGTATCCATACCAAGATGTCTATACAAGTTTACTATTGTTATAGTATCCAACTCCGTGAATAAAATTTTTACG